AATCAAAGGTAAGTTATTTGGAGACAAAGCTAGGCAACTTTTGACTGATTGATTTGCAGCAGTGGTAGGGAACAGTCTTCTAGGTTGTGATGCACAAAGCAAAAGGACCATCTGACCCACGCATGTTGCTAGCTTCTTTTATGTAAAAATTAGTGGTTAGTCAGTAATCTTCTCTCACCAGACCCTATGCCAGGCAATATTAGATAGCCTGCTTCCTTGGCCTTGGGTAGCTGAAGAAAAAGCATCCACCTGGGAATTGTTTTGGCCTTGTGGGCACTTAAGGGGACAGAGTCAGTGACCTCCCCTCCATTAGTGGTAAATGCACCCTGCAATCCCCTGTGCAGAGACCAAGCAGAGCAGCCAGGGTCTGTCCTGCCACTGCCAGTGGCACTCTGAGAGGACCACTGCTCTATCTGCTGCCACTACATCCCAGGGAACCTCTTCCACAATGAACCTGTTCAAGTGACCTTGCAGCACTAGGTTAGAGAAATTTGTTCTTGTGCATTTCCAGCAGTAGCATTTTCTTTTGAAGACAGACAGCTCCATCAGATCCTTCTTCCTCCCACCCAGCCCTTTGGCAGGAGGTGACAGGAGGTGGCTGAGCCAATCTAACAGCTCAACACATCAGAAAGGGGCAAGTCCTGCTCCTTCCCTCCAGCTCCTGCACTTCGCTGCTCATCAGTGAACACCCCAGGCAGCTGACAGCAGGGTCTGATGAGTGCTCGAGCAGAGGTGATGGGATGGGGAGCTGGAGCATGAGGAGGTCGGGGGTCCTTGGAGGTAAGTAAACCTTCCCTGTTCAGCAGTGAGCTGTTAGATTGACTCAGACAACAGGCAATTTGAGGGTGTAAATTGACCCTAAAAGGAAAGCTTTGATGTTAGAGGCTTTTTTTCTTTCCTGTTGACTTCACTCCAGGCCAAATTCCAACTAAACTGTGGCCATAGCAGCTTTTTCAATCATTCCATGGAGTCCCATACCAAGGTGATGAGACCCAGTGTTGCTGCAGCCCCAGGCACTCACCTTCCTGCCCTTACAGTGCCCATGGGCCAGTCACAGCATCTCTGTTCCTAAAAGACATTCAAGTCTTCACTGAGTAAATGGTATTTTTTGTCACTCTTCTGGTAGGAATTTGAAAATAAGTCAGGCAAAAATGTTTATTTCTTGTAGCCCCCATGAGAGTGACTGTTGCATTTGTAGCAGGCACAAAAAAACGCTACCAGGGTGGGTTTGAAAATCTTCAGGGGTGGAGCTTCCCCAGCCTCTCCTGCTCCTGTGTCTGACCTACCCATCACAACAAAGGCTTTTCCTTTCATCCAGGTGGGATTTTCCTTGCTGCAATTCCTGACTGCTGCCTCTTGTCCTCCCACCTTCTCAGGCTAAATTAACCCAGTTCTCTTAGCTTTTCTTTACAAATCACACCCCAGTCTTCCAACCATCTTAGTGCTCCTCTCCAGCACTTCCTTCATCATATTCATAACTCACTTGCACTGGGGTACAGCAGCACAGGTACAATTTCACTGCTGCTGAAAACAAGGGAAGGATCACTTGCCTTCACTTGCTGGTTATTCACTTGCTGAGCAAACCCAGTCTGGAATTAGCCTTCACTCTGCTGTCTCATGTTCAGGTCATTGCTCACAGGGACCCTCAGGTCCTTTTCTGCAGAACTGCTGCCCAGGTCCCCAGTCGGTCCCCACTAATGCAGGGAGTTATTCTAGAAGAGGTGTGGGACATCTGCCTGTGCTGAGCTACATGAGGTCCCCATTGCCCCATTTCTCCATCTTATCCAGATCCTGAACTGCAGCCCTGCTCTCCAGAGTATTGATCTCCTCCTGTTTTGACATTGTCTCTCAGCTTGTCGGGGAGGTGTTATCCTTCAGCGTGCAGGTTGTGTGTGACATTGGTGTAAACCAATTATAGCCTCAGTATTGACCCAAAAACTCACGTATGGACTGCCTGATGCACTCTGAATCTGTGACCACTCCCTCCAGAACCTCAGCATCCAGACAATTTTTCACCTGCCTTCTAGTCCATCTATGCAGCTCATGTCACCTTAGTTTGGCTACAAGGATGCTATGGGAAACCATGGTGGAAACCTTGCTAAAGCCAAGGAAAGAGGCATCCACTGCCCTCCTCATCCCAGATCAGGGCCCATACTCCATCAGCAGGGCAGGCAGGCTGGTCAGGCACACTTTCCCCTAGCCATAGTCGCTCTCCTGTTCTTCGTGAGGTGGACATAGAGTCCCCTCAGGACTTGTTTCATAATTTTCACAGGCACTGAATTGAGTCTGACCATCTGGTCCTTCCCCAGATTCTCCTTTCTGCCTTGGGTTTTGGGGTTTTTTTTGTTTGTTGGTTTGGGTTTTTTTTTGTTTTTTGGGTTTTTTTGTTTTGTTTTGTTTTTTTTTGTTGTTTTTTTTTTTTTGAAGGCAGATCTCATGTCGAACCTCGATCGGCAGATCAAACACAGACCTGGCTGAAGCTGATGGATGTACAAAGCAGCCTTCAAGTATGATAAAAGCAGCAAGTGAAGGTCTCTGTGCAGAGTGAGAGTAGCTGCAGAAGCCACCACGCTCAGCACCTTGGCGAGCATTGTTCAGCCTGGAAAACACAGCCCAAAGGCTTCTTTTGTGGGACAACACAGTACAGTCAAAATCAGTAAGTGCAATTAAAATTGCAGAACTTTTGCAGTTTGACCAATAAACACTCCATGGTGTTACAGTTTATTTTCAAACAACTGAAGTTATAAGAAGAATTATATTGAGTTCCTCAGAAGAACTACTACTAGTTAGTACTCTGAAGTGTTTCCATTTCTGCTGGTACTTGTTAATTCTTTCAATTGCCTGTATATTGCAAAGTTGAATGAGAGGCACAAATCTGGGTATGAGAATCTGGTCCAGTTCAAGCCTTTCTGATGTGGCTATTTCAACAATGAAAACAAAGGCAATATCAGAGCTGTTGGGGAATACTGTGTCTTTTCTGGAGGTATGAGGGAATCCTTTGTATTTCCTGGATGCAAATAGTATTTCTACTTGGTAATGCTGGATCACTTGATCACTTTTCACTCATTTTCCTTTAAATCCCAGACATGAAAAAACTCTATTTTTTAAACTGATTTTATATCTTTCCTTGATGTAGCTATATACAGCACCCTAAAAGCTTTCACCTAAGTGGTTAATTATATTTTGTTTTCAAGAGGGAAATGTTTTAAACTTCCCATAATATTAAACAGCTCCCAAAGATGCTTTGAATATTGACCAAAGGCGTGACATGGGGATGATTGGCTCCATGACTGTCAAAACAAAACTTCCAGAACACCAATAGGAAATTGGGCGTCTCAGGATGCCTGACAGCAGGAGCTGAGGGCTGAGGCAGCATCTCCACTGCCTTGATTGCCCTTGGGCACCCTGCCACGCTGGCCCTGGCAGGTAGCTGCTCTGAACCAAAAGAATAAATTTGTCTTTTAGTGTCAGAATTTGTGGGTATTGGTGATTTTGAGATTGTAGAAAGTCTTTGTCTTTTTGTCTCGTTGCCAAAGAAGAAGCCATAATTTGTCTGTGCTGTTTTTAAGGCTGTTTATTCTTGCTTATCTATAACATGTTCTGCTGCCCTGCCGCAGGTCTGTCCTGCAGGGCAGCGTGTGGGGCTCTGCCCCCAGTGGGATGTTACAAACATTATATACCAGAAACTACATGTGCTGTATTTACAATAATGTGCCAATATCTATCATCTACATTGAACAGCGTGTCCCCAGCCTAAACCAATAGAAAAATGCCAACACCACAGTGAAACATGGAGGGCATGAAGAAGGAGGAAAAGGACAAGACACACCCAATTTCCTTCATCTTGTCCCCTTTGAACCCCTAATCTAGAAACTTAAAATTTTACTTTTGCACCTGTGTCACACTTAATTATTACTCTTATCAAACACTCAAAGCTTGTAATTCATCCTGTAAGATTGAAAACTCTTTTCCATGGACAGAGATCACAGACAGTGTCTCTCGGGGCTCTGTACAGGGGGGTTCCTGACCCCTGCCAGGGTCCCAGACCTGCCAGGGCAGCCAGAGGGAAGCCCTGGATTCCCACATTTTAGGATGAAATTTTGAACTTTTATTCTCTGATTGTACAGATCCCAAAATGACATGAAAAACTTCTAAAACTCTAGTTGCCCACTAGCAAAAGAGCAAAGCTTTTACCTTTGTGCAAAGCCTGAAGTGCTGACTCTCTCAGACCTGAGGGTGTCTCCAAAAGCCAGTGAAGAGCTATCTGATCCTGCCAGCAGAGATCTGCAGATCTCTGCTATGAAGCCCTCTCTGCTTTTCAGGTTTCTGATGCAAGCGCCTTGTGTAACACCACAGGCTTCCAGGTACAGGGAGCGTGGCCAGCCCACAAAGTGAGCACATATCTTAGCCACCTTGAGGCCAAAATAACCTGACCTCTAGATGATCTTAGGAGGATGATGAATAATGTATTGCATCTCCCAGAAGGCTGATTTCTGCCCGTTCAGTAACTGACAGTTTTCCTGACATCCACCAACTGTGTCAGCTTGTATATTTTTGAAAAGGGTTCTGGGGTTATTGAGGGGGAAAACCTGTAAGGCAAAGGAAAGATCACTTCAAAAACTATTGCAGTCATCAAATGGGTGTGACTTTTGGGACACATGGTGGCTGCAATGTTGGGATTTCCCTGAGCACAATAAAATCTATCAAAGAAGAAATAGCAGGGCTGGAGAAAGTGGGAACTGAGGGCTAGGATAGGAGAGAACTTCCAAGGAGTTAATTAGTGCCGCATTAGTGTTTGTGGGCAAGCAGGCACAGTAAGTAAGGACATACATTTGTGAGGTCATTTAGAAATTCCCAGAGAAGCTCTCTTTGTTGGCAAATGCCAATGCTGACACACATACTACCCTACCTGCTATGACGGATCATTTACATGTCATTCATTATGGAAAAGGCATTAACAGGGTAAAGTCCAAGTCCTTTGGTTAAAAGAAATCACCAGGACTGCTTCAGATTAGCTGCCTGCCATCTACAGCTGTCTCCTGCTGGGCTGGGGCTGTTTCCAGGAGCCATTGGATCCCCAGGATTAGCTGGTCAGGGCAGAATCATCTCCTGGTGAGGGAACTCCCCATAGTGGACAAGAACCCTCCCATGCAAGGAAAGGCTTGTCTCCCTCTGCTCTCCCTTATCCTGGAGTTGCCATTAAAAAAGTTCAGAAACAGCAGCCTCATGTTATGAGTCACAAAAGTGACTTTTAATTCCCAGAGGGAATTTTTAAAGTGATTTAATGCTTATAAGTTTACACTTGTTTGGGGACGGGTAAAGCTCCTAAGCCCTGCTTTGGTGCTTTTAAAAATGTGCCATGCCAATTAGCTGCAGATGTGTTTTCAGGGTAAGAAGCTGCTACTAGACATTCCCCTGCTTTTTTCAGCTGGACCATTTCCTGTGAGCAAGCTCTGCAAAATATCTGAGGTCTCACCCTCATGGATGGCAGGAATGGACTGCACTTCCTTCTGGTATGGTTTTTGGGCAGTGCTGCCCTTTGATGCTGTGTCCTTGCCATTTTTCTCCCAGTGCTCCACTGGGCTGGCTGCCTGTTTTGCTCTAGCTGGATGCTCACTGCAAAGCTGAGGCTGTCTTAAACACTTTTAATAGTGGGGTGGCCTGCTACTCTTATATGAAAATATATACTTAGACACAGCAAATGCTTTAGCTTTTGGGGAACAGCTAATTTTCAGGGAACCACATTTTCTGCGAGCATAACTTCAGTGGAGTCAATGCAACATCTTCTCCAATAAAGCCTGCATGCAGGGGATCACATCCATTACCAGGACTGGAGCTGCTTGCAAATAAGAGCACAGACTTCTTTTGAAACATAATAAAAAAGAATTCTCCTGTATGATTTATTACATATTCATTATGCTCAGGCTGACACCACTTGTGTTCCTTATGTGCTTTTCTCAATTACATTCTTAAGCACTTGTATAATTTCAAGCACCTGGAGACCTTGGCTTGCTTTGCTGGATGCTACTTCTGTTTAGCCTGATGCCAGGGTTGTGCTGCAGTGGGTGCTACAGTCTAAACAGGTAAAACTACTGGTTTTGACTTAAGTGTGTTTTGTCTCTTATTTCTTTTGGGGTTTTATCTTCTGAAGTGGTTCTCTGGACTAAGCACAGCTCCAAGGTCTTCTCCATGCTTTTGGAAGATAACATCCTCCTTGTTGGGACTTGCTGAATAAACTGTGTGGGAATGAAGGGCCATTTGACTCTCCAGGTGCCTTAGGCCTGCTGTGATCCTTTAACAGCCTGGGTGACACAGCAGGAGCTGCCACTTCCAGGGTCTGCAGTGTTGTGCAGAGAAGCTGGATGCTTAACTGGAAGAAAGCAGGGATACACGAGATGGGAATTGAATGTCTCAGCACCAAGGGCAGTGGGTAGGAAAACAGCCCCACAAATACAACTCTGAGTATAGACAACCACTGCAGGAGGGGATGTGTGGCTCCCCCTGTTCCTCTGACCAGCTGGTTGGTCCCTGAGGTCAGGGTAGGCTCCCATTGCTCCCCTGCAGGCTGCACCCACCTGGCTGAGCTCAGGCAGGGGCAGAGCTCACTCCTGGGGAGGGCTGAGGTGGACACAAAACCTTGCTCAGCCTTTTTCCAGGCAGCATCTTCTATCACAAGGAAAGATGACAAATTTTTTGTTAAATTATTTAAGATATTACTGACTGGTCATGAATTATTAAAGTGTTTATTACTTACCATTTGGATGGCAACTCGGGGCAGAAAATCACAAGCCTTTCAGGAAACCTGAGGCCAGCCTTTGCGTGCCAGACATGCCGGGGACTCGGGGGTGAGCTGAGGTGGTGGGTGCAGCAGCATCTGGTGTGAGAAAAGGCACGGCTGGAGCCTGGAGCGTGATGCAGCCTGCGCTGCTGCAGATGGCTTTGCCACTGGTGCTGCAGTCTCACAACCTCCTGCCACTCCTCCCAGCGTTATTTTTATTTAATATTTGCGTGATGGCTGTGCTAGAACCCCTTTATACCACGTGGCATAAAATCTACAACAGAGAGAACTCTTATCCTGGTAGTTTGCTCCCCGTTACTGCAATTTCTTAGAGATTAAACTATCTTTAGGTAGGAGAGGACACTATGAAGCAAGAGTGTGCTAATTCTCATCAGCAAATGTATGTTTGTTAATGGTCTTGCTCTGTTGAAGATATTTGTAATGTTTTATACTAGTCTTATTTCTACCTCCTTTTCAGCCTCCCTCATGTTTAGTGGGTTTTTTGGTTTGCTTGGTTTTTTGTTTGTTTGTTGTTTTGGTTTTTTTTGTTTGGTGTTTTTGTTTTGTTTTGTTTTTGTTTTAATTTTCCCATTCCTTGAAACTGTAACCACGTGCTGATCATTAGGACTTCTGTTCAATGCATACTTATCCTTTGTGGTCAATGTTCACCAGTTGGGGGTTAGTGATCAAAGAAAGAGCAGACCTTATCTTCCAGTGTTATTTTGAGGAAGACAAAGCAAGGAGATAAGCATAGTTTGGACATGCATCTCTGCCTAACAACGTTAGACTGCCTCCACATCAGAGTCAGACAGTCAGGATTGGGCAGTGGTTAAAATACAACTACTTGAAGAAAAAATTCTGCTGGTGGGTTCTGACCAAATAACATAGTTAGCATGGCTCACCATGGCTGCTCAAAATTGAGAAGCAGCTCACAATTACCCTTTGGTAATTGTGCAAGATGAGTTTGGCTTGCAGGCATAGATATATCACAGCATTCAGAATCCACAAGGCAACCAGCGATTGGTGGAAATCTCTGAAAGTATTTGTGAAAACAGTCAGCTGAATATGTTTGTCCTTGAAATGCACTGTTTCTTATTTAGTATCCTGTGCTCATTTTTCCTCCCTTGCAAACGTTTCAGTCATTCAGCCCAGGAACTGATTAAACCACCCAGTAAACACAGTACAGATGTCAAAGTGAAAAATTCACAAGCTATTCATAACAAGCCATCTGCTGAAAATAATTTGTCTAAACTATTTGGGGAAAATTTACGAAGTAATGAAAATGCTCAGAGATATTTGGGAAGATTCTAACTACCGAAAATCATGAAAAGGCCTAATAATATGTTTTGGTTACAACTGAAACCTTTACAGCTTTCTGCAGGATTTGGGATACTAAATTCTCTTTGGCCTGCCATGCTAAGTACTGGCTGCTCAGTTTTGAAGCATGTAAGCCTTTTTCACATTCATGATTATCCTACAAGAACATGCAGTTTGGGCATAGTCCGTGGTCTGATTTATATTCCCAGGGTGAAAAATGGCCAAACTCCCACTTGGGCTGTATTTGGACTATATTGGAAGCCCAGCATTTAGAAATTCAATCCATCCAAACAATACAAGTCATACTGAAGCTTTGCAGACCTTAGTCAAGAAGAGACATACCTAACCTTCAACAATTTTTCATTCAGGTAAATTGCTGGTTTTCCTTGGCTGTTCAAATAGTTTCTGTCGTGCGTTATTCTGATTTTCAGAGCTTGTGCTGAGTTCTAAAGATGGGCTCTTTCATGTGCCACGGCTCCAGGAGCATGTTTCTCCATTCCCTGCATCTTTTCATTGCCTTGGTTTACACACTGGTGCTTTGACAGACACCTGAGGTAGCTAAAGTGGGTTTTGTGTGTGAAATGCAGATTCAGGCCCCTGAGAGATGTATTTGCTGGTACATCAGAGATCTCAGTTTTAAACCACAAGCAATTTCCTGAAGAAGGCTTAAAGTGAAATAAAAAAGAAGGGGAAAAGATTAGTATCTCCAGGGGATGTTTTCCAGCACATCACTTAAACCCTCCTCCCTAGCCTACAGGCTGAGTAAAGGTTAATCCTATAGCAACTAAAATCCCATACAATCCACACTCCCTCAATGTACACATTTCCAGGAGGAATTCCTCTGACTGAGCATAGTTGGCAGCCTCACAGAAAGGTATCTCAGCTTAATGGCCACAAGTCAGTGGATATCTAGATCCATCAATCTCCAATGGAAATAAAAGTCACACAGGGACATTGCTGCTGTGCATGTGCAGGATGGGGGCTTCCTTTGTGAGGAAACCATGTGGACCAAGAAGAAAGACCTCTCTGAAAGCCCACACCCTCTTGGGTTGTCAGACCTTTCACTCTGGGATTAATGGGCCTGGGGTCAAACAGATAGGTAGGTACTTAATGAATTTTTCAGTAGATGTTACATCTGAAGTCTGTGTTTACTGAGTTGTTCCCGTGATCTGTTTCTTCTTTTCTTTGGAAACTGTCAGTATAAATATTCTAAATAGACTGAAAAGTCCATAAGTAAAGCTGGTTGCTGAACTTCACCAGCGATGAACACAGGGAAATTTGTTTTATGTTTGTAGTCAGAATTTGCTTTCCATTTTTAAGTGACTTCTGATATTGAAGTCCTAATTAGGTACTTTTAAATAGAGAGGAGCTAACGCATTGTCCAGCTGCTCTTGCCACTATCCTGTGCTTGTTGATAGTTGCCCATCTGCTCTTTGCCAGCTTAAAAATAAACATCCACTACTAAAATGAAAAGATGCGCATTTGGAGTATTATCCTCCTGTTACACATTCCAGTGTTTTCCATCTAAAAGTTCATTCTGTTCAATAAAAAAACACCAAAAAAAAAAAAACCCAAAAAAACCCAAAAAAAACACAAAAAAAAAAAAAAAAAAAAGCAGTAGCTTGTGTTACCAGAGCTGAGCTCACTTTATGAAAATATGCCATAAAATGTAGTTGCCAGACGAAAAGCTCCAAAACCCGCGTTAGCCTACTTCCCTTGATCTTTCACATTCTAACACTCCGGTCCACGAAGTTGTTCGAGTGTCAGACTCCGAGTACAGAGGGAGTGAAGCGCCTGGATGTGACCACAAACCTTCGCTCTGGGGTCTCCAGCCTCGCACAGTGCGCAACTTCCGCACGTGTCCAAGCCTGCGCTTCCGACGGGAAACGATGGGAGAACGGGGATGCGCTGCGGCTCCTTGGGTAGAGCCCCCCGTCTGTTCCCCGGCCACGGAACCGGCGATTGCGGAGGTGCCGCTCCGGAGGCAGGAGCCCGAGAGGCGAACAGCGGCACACGGCGTGTCCCGGCCGTGCTCCCGGGCAGCGCCGCTCCCGCAGGGCGCGTCCCCGCTCTGACGGACACCCTGTGCGCTCCGGGCTGAGGGCAGCGGGGCCGAGGGCAGCGGGGCTGAGGGCAGCGGGGCTGAAGGTAGCGGGGCTGAGGGCAGCGGGGCTGAGGGCAGCGGAGCCCAAGGGAGCGGGACCGAGGGCAGCGGAGCCCAGGGCAGCGGGGCTGAGGGCAGCGGGGCCCAGGGCAGCGGGGCTGAGGGCAGCGGGGCCCAGGGGTCCCAACGCGGCGGGGCCCGGGGTCCCGGCAGCGGCGGGCACGGCCGGGCAGGGCCGGGCGGGTTCGGCGGGGCGAGAGCGGCACCCAGCGGCACCCGGCGGCACCGGGACAGGGACAGCGCCGCGGGCCGAGTGACGCCGGGGGACAGCGGCACCGACTTAGCAGCGCCTGTGGCGATAACAGAGGGTGATGGGTGCAAACCGCCAAAGGGACGGCTTGGATCGGATGTGAGGAAGAAGTAAGGATTTTTACAGTGAGGGTGGCGAGATGCTGGCAGAGGGACGCGCCATCCCTGGAAACGTTAATGGTCAGGGTTGCACAAGACTTTAAAAACCTCATCTAGTTGATGTCCCTAATCATTTCAGGGGATTTGGAACTAGATGATAAAGGTTCCTTCCAACCCCATCATAAATTCAATGAATCCAATGAAATTCAATGAATTTATGATTCTATATGAGTGAGACTGTGAGTCTGTGTTTCAGTGAGTCTATTGTTCTATGACTCCTAGCCCTGGGAAGGCCTTGAAAACTGGCGTGGTTTTCTGCTTTTGCTTTTGTTTTAATAGAAGTGACACACACATGGAGGGGTGTCAGAGGAAGCCAGAAAGAAGGAGCAGCTCGCTGCTGCTGTGCTGGGGCAGGAAGGGAAAGGGAGCTACAGGCTTTGGGATCTTTCTCTCGCTGTTACAAATATCAGGGAGCATGGTTTCTCTACCACCAGCTTTGTCCTGAGGGAATCCTACCAAGAGGGAGCCAGAGGTGCTTCAGGGTTGGATTGCATGAGACAAACTTGACCTTTCTCTGCCAGAGAAAAAGGAGATGAAAATCTGTCACTCTTAACTGTAATCCCAGCCAGTGACATTTCAGTGGAGCTGCTGTGGGCTGGGAGTACTGCACTCAAGAACAGATTTTTTGGCAAAAAGAACTTAATCCACTGTTTTAGAGTAACAAACAGCACGTTAATCATGTCTAGAATGGTCTGCATGCTTGTGTGAACCAGCCACAAAGCCCAAAGCCCATCCCTCACCTTCCTCCTCTGGGTCTGATCCAGAAACTGTGCCAGTTCTGCCACATTTTGCTCCAGCGGAACTCCTAAGGCAAGTGAATCTTCATCCTACCCCTGTTTAAGGTGTTGAACATTGCTGTCTTTGTAAGAAGTGACTGTTGATAAGGATGATCCAGCTGTGGGTTTGGAAACATGATAGATAAATAAATAGTGCTCAAAAGTCTGCATTTCAATAGAAGGGGTGTTTGGTGGAAAAAATATTTTAGGAAAAAGGCCTTTATTGGTTTAAATCTTTTTAGCGTGATTACAGACTGGGCAGACAATCTACTTTTCATGTGGTGTAAAAGAATCCTCCTAAATGAATAAAATATGGGATATGTTAAGAGCTCAGCCTAAAACTGAGCAAAAAAGAGGAAAGAAAAAAAAGCAGAGAGTACACAGGCAAGTCCCCGTCTCAGCTCTCATTGCCATCTCAGAATTCGTGGCTGGGATCCTATGAAAGAACAACCCCTGGTGGGATAAGAATTAAAATTAGAACAAGAAGAAAAAAATCCCCAAAATACAGAGTGACCCATGAAACCTAGCCTAGAAAGAAGGAGGGCCACCAGAGGAAATGAAGTTAAGGATATGTTTGGAAGGAGTTTGTTTTCTCAAAGCCTTGTGTTTCACTGCAACTGATTTAAAACCTGGGTTGTGTTTCAGCAGCAGCAGTTGTAGGAGTGCAAGAGGGGAGTCTGCCACCTCGGCCTCTGCCAGCATGCTTCACGCTGAATTGTTTCTGGGTTTGGGCTCAGAGGCTGTTCACAGGGCCAGACCTGGAGGAAGAGCTGCTCTTTCCTTCTTGTGAACCAAGTAATGCTGCACAGGGGCACAAAAGGCGTCCCTTACCCGGGCTGCAGACAAAGCCAGGAGCTTGTTGCCCAGCAGTTTTCTTCACTTGCAGGAATGGTCAGCAGTGATGCAGGCCTGTGCCCACCAACAGGGATTTGTGCAGTGCAGGAATTGAACCAGATTTTGCTGAGGAACCAGTGAGATGATTTTGCATCATAAATGCTTGTGGAGTCATCATTCCCCCATCAGCTCAACATCAATAGCTTCACAAGTATGCCTACTTACTTATTTACTTCTCGCCTTTGTTGTACAGAGCAAAATCACTGAATAATATCTTTTTGTTTTTTTCAGGATAATTTGTCTATTCAGCTCACTTACTGTCTTGGATGCATCACTGGAGGAGACCTGAGCAAGCTGTCACAGAGCAGACCTGGCCCTGAAGTGCTGTGCCAGAAAGTTAGCCGCAAAATGGTGTTCAGCACTGCAAATTCTCACAAGGAGATTGGGAATGGATACAGTGAAGTGTTTATTCCAAAGGTTTATTCCAGAGGTTTATTCCAAAGGACATGGGCCCTCAGGGAAGAAAGCCAAGCATGTTGTGTGGTGCTGGTGAGACAGCCTTAGTCCTGGTAGTGACTTCAGTGCAGTGAGATTTCCATGTTGTGGCTACACATGGAAATTTCCTCATGGCCAAGTGTTGGTTAAAGCAATGCCCTGCTTGCCTGTTGCCTGCCTCTCCTAAACACACTGGGCAGTGGGAGAGACAGGACATCAAGCCAGGCTGAAAATTAATGTTTTAGCAACTTTGGTGAAAATGTCACTCCTCCTGCAGCTATACCTGTTTACACAACACACTCCATTCCCCCCAGCCGGCTGTTTTCCAAAGGCTGGGCTGTCACAAACTGCTAATAGCAGCACTTGTCATCTCAGTGCTGCTCCAAGTGGGTCACATGTGGGCTGTTCTCTACCTCTGGGCACACACCTGTTCTCCTCAGTGCAGTCTCACTACAGCCAGCATAGCCTTGCTCCTCCACACACTCCCACTGTTACATTATCTTTAACCACAAAACGCTTCTCTTCCCACACTGGGAAATTCTGCGGGGACCATGGCAAAACCAGCTGACCCCTGGGGATTTTGTAGCTCCTTTCTGGGTCAGGATGGTCCTGCAGTGGCAGGTGGTGCCTGCTGTTGCATCTTTCCCAGTTGATGTCAGGCACATTTCTCAGATGTGTTTTCCAGTGGCCCAGGTTCCAGCCCTCCTCAGGGGTGTGGTGGGTGTCTGTGATGTCCACTGATGTCAGCTGGGGGTTGCTGACACCACTGAGCAAACACATTTCAAGGGATGGTTCAAATAATAGATAAATTATGGGAAAGTTTCTGCTTGGCAAGGATCTTTACACTTGAAATCCTTGTACTAACCCTGTCTGAAAATAGTGGTGTGGATGGGGAAATATAAATTACACAGTCAAAAGCAGAGCTGAGTAAATGCTGCAACAGGGATCTTTCAAGTTCATTAGCTCTTTACAAAGCCATGCTTATACTGATTTGGATAGACAAGTATCTCCAGAGAAGGGGTGCAAATCTGCCATCATGGTCCAGACGCTGAAGAGCCTGGTTGTCCCTTGCCACAGCACAGGTGGCTTGGTGCTGAGCCGCACTTGGGAGCACAACATCTCACTGCATGTCATGGCTGAGGACACTTTATTGCTTTCTGTCAACACCCCAGCACTGAGCTAGGAAGTAATGTGTGCTTCTAGTGATGTGATCTCTCAGACAGCATTTTAAATCACGCTTCTGTCTGTGGGGAGGCATGAGAGATCCCGTGACACCATTTTTATTTCAGGAAGAATAAAGGCATTCATCTCTGCAACATTGGATAGATTCATTGCCTTATCCCAATAGGGCATCTTCACATAAACAGTAAACAGCTGAATTGAACTGCAGTCTGGAATAGCAGTCAGGGGTAGGAAACTCAGGCACTAATTTTACTTCTTCACTGAGACTATCTGTGTTTTATTGCTCTGAAGGAGGGTAGCCAGCAGTTTGTGCTGTGGCTTCCAAATAATGGCACTATTTTTCCTCTGAGTCATTTTTGTTTGAATGCTGATAACTGGTGTTTATATTTTCAAGCCCAGTTGTGGCCAGGACTCTGAGAATAAAATAAAAAGCAAGTTCCAACCTTCATTTTCAAGGAATCTGGCTGACCTGTGGAGGTCAAACTGCAGTTCAAATCTTCAAAATGCAGTTTTAGTTCTAGGACAATTGCTCTAAGACTGCCAAAAGAGGAATGGTGATAACAATTTTAATACCAATGGGGACAGCTGATTTGAATTAAGCCTTCTCTCTCAAGTGAGAGACAGCAGCCCTTATAAGGACCACAAGTCTGCCGTGGTGGAGCTTTTCATGACCATTCATAGTCACAGCCTTCCTGAAGGCCATGTAAGCTTTGAAAACATTATCCCAATTTTACAGATGTGGGACTGTGGCCCAAGACTTGGCCTGGCCCCCTCCCCTGAGAATGCTCAGCAATCTTGCAGTTGAGCTGTAACTTGTGAGAATCACTCCCATGTCTTTCTTACTTTCCTTGCCCTATGCCAGCATCCTCCAGGCTGGATCTCACCTTCTGCCCCTTGGGCTGATGGCAGCCCTGAGATGGATGTTCATGCACTGCCCAGCTGCTTTGAGGGAGGGCAGAAGAACCAGCAAGCAACTCTGGTCCTTGGACTGATTTCCTTCTCCAAGCAGTGAAAAATAAAGATCAAGAGGAAAAAAAAAAAAAAATCAGTGTGCAGGGTAGAAAGCAAAGCTGATGAAGGATATAGATTTGTATGCTCAATACATCCTATGGTGTACTTAAATAACATAGCAAGGATTTTAAAAATCCAATTTATTTTAAAAGTAAGCACCACTTGTGAATATACAGGTGTGTGAGTTAATAATTTGGTGTTATATTTTTAGTTCTTTGTATGCATTTTGAAAGATGCTTCAGCCTCAGTGGGTCTAACAACCCAAGGGGAAATGACCTTGTATCTTGTCTTTGTATCTTTTCTCCTTTTTAGGTTTTGTATCAATCTGATTTTTTTCAGGTCAGTTTATATTACTGTTGGATCTGAGTGGGTCCATCACCACATTGTAAAGATGCAAAGCAGCAAAGACACAAATGCATAAAATGTTGTTGTCTTATCTCACCTTTTCACAGACCCCGCAATTTTCCTTATCATTGGCAGCAACTGGGGATAAAATGTGCATGTGAACTGCTTACAGCAGGACCTGCCCTATTCACCCTGTGGGACAGGACTTCCCTGCCTTCTCTCTGCCTGCCCTTTGCAGAGTTTCTAACAGCTCAGACGACCAGGGTAAGGGGAGAGCTCTGCTCTAGGGTACCACTTCTCCCTCCTCTCATGCATTCCTACTGGGAAGACAAAGAAGTTTAGCATCTCCCACCTGGCACCAGGGTTATGTATGCAGCATATTCCCTCTCCTTTTGTCCAGAAAGCTGCATCCCTCTCTCCCCACGACTGGGGTGACTCCTGAGGAGCAGAAATCCAACGCCGGAGCTCCATGCTGCAGAAGCTGTACCTTGCTGGAGACAAGGACTGCAGATGGCTGCAGCTGCTCCAGCCAACTGGGACGGCAGCCGCCGGCCCCCACGCACCAGCCCCGCGGCTCAGGTGTCCTCAGGAAGGAGAGAATTAGTGAGGACTTTAATGCTGGATTAGGCTGCCCCAAGTTTTCCCTTTTTCTCCTACCAGCAGCTCAGCGTGTGGAAGCAGGCGATCTCCGGTGTGGGTTACAGCCTGGGACTGCCCCTCGCAGTGGCCAAATCCTCTCCTTGACCCTCTGCCTCTCAAACCTCTTGAGGTGGCCAGTGCCTGGGGGTGTGCCCCAGGGCACCCCAAGGGCACAGGGATGGGATCTGCTTCAGGCTACAGCTTACCACCCCACTCTGTCCTTTGCTGTGCTAAGTCTGGAGCTGAAATTGAGCATTTTGCAAAGAAAAAAGGGCTTTTGCCTCTTCGCTCTGTCTTTTCAAAACCCATCCTCCTGAACATGGGTAGAGCCCCCTGCACTACATGTTCAAAATGTTCTCCCTCATGTTTTTAGGCATTCCCTTTTTCGATGAAACCCTTGGGATATCCCACCAATCTGCAGAGAAATCTGCAGCCATCCTGGCATTAATAGCCCTTAAGCCCTGGAGGACTGAGCAACCCAAGGCTGTGGCCTTGCTCTTGCTCCATGGCATTCTCTCTTTGGTCAGACCTGCAACCATTAATGTTACTGCTGGGAAACTGGAGCTGATGACTTCTGGAGTGGTAGCTGGTATAGGCTTCTTGGCTGGATTTAGGCAGCCCAGCAGGCTGCCCTTGCACAGCAGTCACGTGGAAAGCCGCAGAGAAGATCAGGATATTGCAATAATGCCATTATTCAGAGTCTTTCTGAAAAGCCAGTTCAGTGGCTGAATAAGCTCATGTGGATTCAGGACAAAAATCTCATAGTCATGCATCACAGAAATAAGAACTATAAAAGATTTAATGTATGATTTATCCCTGGGACTTAGAGATTTGCCAAAACCGCTGTGTGCTGAAATCCAGGAGAACATACAAGGATATCACTTTTACCCCGTTTCTCATCTTTCCTTGAACATCTGCTACTTGTTGTTGCTAGAGGGAGGTTTGGGATGAGGAGACACACCAGATCTGACCCACTGCCATAATTATTTTACTTTCTGCTTTGTGGTGTTCACTTTTTAACCCCAGCTGACTTTGAACAACTCAGCAAGGCTTATCTGCCACCCTCCTTGGGAGCTGCTCCTAACTTTCTGAGAATTGCCCATCTGAGTTTCCTCCTGATAATTCATCAGTGTTTCCCAATCGGTAATTAAAAAACTTCTGTTAACATCTGTCAGGTCTGTCTGCCAAATTGAACACACCTTGGAGGGTGCTGTCCTCTCACAGAAGGATTAGCAGCAGTATTTACAAGCCAGAAGGAATCCAACTACTTTTTATGGAGACACAACCTCAGAGAAATCTCTGGCCCTGGGGATTTGATTTTCATTTTCTGCTCTACAAGTGCAAACAGAGTAGAGAAGCTGCACCCAGGCTGATGGCTCCTAACCCTCTTCCTACTCAAGATGTGAGGCAGCAGGAGCCTGAAAATCATGGCTGTGACACATTAAGTAATTGAATTCCATCTGCCACAGCAAGAGCCATGCTCTGTGCAGCACCACTTGGCTGCTGGCATATGAAGTTTCCCAAGGACAGCCGAAGCAAAATTTGCACTTTGGGAAGCTGGTGGAGCTTTAGGAGTTCATGCAAAAATGCCATGAGGAATCAGTGTTTTTCACAAGAAATGTTTTAAAGTAAGCCCAATTCTCCTTTAGTCAGTGTGATTATACCTCAATATTTTCAAACTTGTCTTAACCAGGCTTCAGGAAGTTTTCACTTCCAACACACATTTTTCTTCATAGGACAAATAAGAGCCTCCTCTGACTGAGCAGGGGCAATCTCATGGTACAGATCCCAAGCTGAGCTACAAAGTACAGAGACAATTGACAACCCAGGCCACAGCCCCTGCCTGCGTGTAATTGTCCCACACAGAGCAGAACCCCAAAGGAGATGGGGCACAAGCATGTTTGCCTTCTGTTGAATGTGTCAGAGGTCTGATGTTTGCATCAGATCGTGCCACGGGCATGCATTTTGTGTGCCAGAGCCCAATTCATTGCATATTTCCCATGTTCTTTTTCCCCTGCCATGTGCTCTGCAATGTTGCTGATGGAGGTAAATGGCCAATGTCAACCACAGCTTTGGGAAAAACCCCAAAAAAACCATCCAGAGCCCAGCTTACCAGCACAACTCTTGTCTGCTTGGAGAGGTCACACTGGACACACATCACAAGGTTTGGGTCCAGCTTTCTCAGCTCAGCTTAGTTACCCTGTTCAAGCTGCTGAAGGTGCTCAGTTTGGGTGGATATAGGAGCAAGTTTTCCCTGCACAAGCAAGTCAGTTTCTGGGAAAAGTTTTCATCAAATTTTAGAAGTTGCAATTTGTGCTAATAAAAATTCACAGATTTTTTTGGCCTGACATGAGGTAACCCTGTGACTTCCAGCCCTGACACAGCCCCACACATTTCAGCAGTCGTGTGGCCAACAAGACACAGTTTGGTGGACAACCCCTCACAACTCCAGAGGGAAGAGCAAGCCTTGACAGCCCACACAGCTTGGTAACAGCAAGGTTTCAATCCCCAAAATAGCATTCCTTACTCACCAGCAGGGTGCGACCACTGTGCCCTGGTGTTCTAAACCAGGATACGCAGTGCTGAAGTCCATAAAACCAGTTGTCAAATCCCTGGGGGGGTCCTGGGAGCCCACAGGTGACTTGATGACAATGTCCCTGTCAGCTGAGGCACTGTCTGTGTGAGCCCCTTGGGAAGAGCACCCCCTGAGCTCCCACATCCTTCCCTGGGGCTGTGTGTGGTCTGGCACTGAGTGCTTTTAGTTCTGATGCCCCAGAGATCCGGCAGAGTGAGGGGGAGGTGTGTTGGCATTTATAGTTGTAGCAAGAATTGGCCAGTATAAAGAATAAAAACAGTAAAAACATTTTACAAAATGCAGGTCAGAGGGACACGAGTGCATTAAAACTGGGGCTCTCACAACACTGCCTCGCCTTTCCTCCAGTGGGTCACATAGGATGGGTTAGAGATGGTGGCCCACACACTTCCTTTTGGACTGTGAGCAGGGATTCCTGCTGCCTGGGGACATCTTACAGGTGTGAACATATCAGCTTCCATGAACTTCCTGTGCTCAACTGGGAGTGCCAAGGGCTCATTCAGCACTTGATGTCTTCAGGTACCACTTGGCACCATTGGCCAGGCTGAGCCAGTCTCCTACAAAAACTTTTTAATCAGCTGGCATGAGTTCCCATCTGGGTCAAGGAAACTTCCTACTGGAAGGGCTCAGTGTTAACCTTTTTTTTTTTTTTTTTTTAAAGCAGCTCTTTGATTTATATTCTGAGCTAAAGTTTTTAAGGATCTTGAAGCAAATCCCACCTCAGATATATATCAGATCCTGGTATTGCAGATGAAGCAAATAACCAGTAGTAAATAACATGACATGCACCAGGTTTTCCACACATCATTATGGAGGAAGCCACGTGCCCAGAAAAGATTTATGACATACAGAAGCAGAAAACTGCAGAAGTAATGAACATTTTAAAGCAGAGAATACGTCTGTTTAATAGATAAATCTTAATTAAAGAAAATGGAGTATTATTCTGAATATACCCTTTCAAAGTTATTTTCTAGTATCAATATTTTGGATTTTAAAAAAATATCTGCTATAGATCCCCTGCATCCATCCAGGATATTAGCGAATGGCAGGACAGCTTGTGCAAAGTGTGTGCACACAGCTCCTGGAAAACACTTGTTTTCTGTGTGACAGTCACCACCTCTCTGTGTGCCACAGTTATTTTGGGCAAGGTAGGGTGGACTGGTATAGAGACAACCGGCTTTGAAATCCTCCGCTGAGCTTTGTGAGGCAGGATCCCAGGGATGCAGGATGCCGGAGGAGGGCGGAGGCACAGGCAAGCCAGAAGGAAACACCGGGAACACGGAGGTGGGAGCTTTACAGGATAAAAGCAGGGGACAAGGACAAACTGAGAGGACAAATAAAATGCTAAAGACAGAGTGCTACATTGCTGAATATTTCAGGCAATGATAATAACCATTCACACCTCAGAACTGCCATGGTTTATTTAACATGTAATTTTTTTACCTTTTTCTCCAGCCCTGAAGAGGAGGGAACAGCTGCATGGCATCCCCAGAAACCCAAATCCTGCCCCCTCTGCCTTCTGCAGAATAAATGTGTTATGGGAGCTTTGATTGCAGTATTTGTGCTTTGCCAGTTCCTGCACCTGCAGGTCAGGACCTGGTGCAGATTTTGTCTGCCCCTAGGATGCCCTGAGCTGACAGTACCCAGGGATTGGTTTTGCTGCACTGTTACATTGTCCTGCTGCAACAAAAATTAAACTATTGAGTAAAATACTCCCAATACTCCCAGAATGAAAATCTGCAAATGGAAAGCACAGGAAAGGGCTTTGTTGCCATGCTGGCCCCATAGGCACTGATGAACAATTAAATATAGTGACTTCTGCAACATTCATAAATGCAGAG